TGTGACCCAGCCATCTTCGTGTATGGCTCAGGGGGGAGTGGGGTGCATGAGACTCTGCTCTCTCATGTCTCCCAGGACAGGGGACAGAGGCTGAGCTGCTGGCTGCCCTGCCACAGGTCCCAGGTGGCCGAAACCGAGTCGCCCGGCAGCACCTTGGTGACGCTGAGGTGCACCGACTCCACCAGCACTGACGGGTGTCTGCACTATGCTCTCGAGGGGCCTCCCTCCTTCCGCTCCCACTTCTGCATGGAGGGGCCACAGCTGAAGGTGGGCAGGGCAGTGCCCAGGTGGACAGCGAGCCCAGACCCCGGAGCCCAGTGGGACCCTGTAACATGTGCTGTCGTGTCAGGTTCTGCGTCAGGGCTCCCTGCTCCCCAAGGCCTGCTCATTCTCCTCACTTGTCCCTCCTTCTCCCCTGGCATCGCAGCTTTGTGGGACACCCTGGCTTTGTGGGATACTCAGGCTTTGCAGAGCATCTGAGCTTTGCAGAGCACCTCAGCTCTGCCTGACTCTCTCCTTCTGGCTTGGCAGGTCAACTCCACCCTCGACTATGACTCAGAGGCCATGGCTGCTCTGGGCTTCCAGTTAACGGCCACCATTGTGGTGACAGTGGGAGGACAGCCCCTACAGAGCAGTGAGTGTCCATGTCCCTAGGGTGGGAAAAGACCTTTCCCAATCCCCAAACCAGCAGATCACAGAGGAAACATTCCTTCCCTGCTGCCCCAGAGATGCCCACCCCAGGGGTGGTGCCTCTGTCCCCATGTCACCCAGCTCAGCAGAGGCCGTGGGGTGGTGCCAGCATGGCTAGCAGCTGTGTCCCACACAGCCCGTGTGCCTGTGCTTGTGACGGTGACACCTGTCAACGAATTCAGACCGGCGTGCCCCAGCGGTGCCACCTTCGCGGTGCCAGAGACAGCAGCTTTTGGCAGCATGGTGGGGCGTGTGGCTGGCACTGACCGTGACTACCCCCTGGACAGCCTCGAGTACAGCCTGGAGGGGGGGCCCGGCCCGGCACAGCCCTTCTCCATCGACAGGCGCACTGGTGAGCACCGGGCCCCTTCCCCAGCCCCCGCCACACCCCATGGCACCTCCCGGTTCCCAGCAGCTCACGCCTCCCCACAGGCGAGATCCGCGTGGTGGGACCCCTGGACTCGCAGCAGCAGAAGAGCTACAGGCTGCTGGTGCGGCTGACGGACACCCACAATGACCTGGACCTCAGGAAGAGGCAGAGCCGTCTGTGCGACGTGTCTGTGCGCCTGCAGGTGCGAGGGCAGCCCGCTGGGCGGGCTGTGCTGGGTGCGAGGACTGGGGGTGCCTACCCTAGCGCTTCCTCCCGCTCCTGGCAGGCTGTGCCGGACCAGCTGCCGGTGTGCATCCCCGAGGTGCAGGAGCTGCGGATCACGGCTGGGTCCCCGGGCAGCCGCCAGCCCGTCACCCGCCTGGTGTGCCACGGCGGCCCCGACAGCGCCGTGCTGACTTACAGCATTGTTGGAGGTGAGGAACGGCCAAGGCACGGCACAAAGCCGCCCTCGCCGTGGTGTGACACTGAGCAGACCCTCTCGTCCAGGCAATGAAGATGGGCGCTTTCGGCTGGAAGGGAGCACCCTTGTCTACCTCCCCAGTGACCGAGCCGAGCCCCACCCCTTTGTCCTGCTGGTGGAGGTGGGGGGCGGCTCTGGTGGCCGCCGCCGCAGCATCGTGGTGGCCCTGGTGGTGCACGTCACCCCCCGGAGCACCCCGGTGCCCCCCAGCACCAGCACCCAGCACACGGTGAGCAGAGCCCGCTGATCGGGAGGTGCTCCAGGGTCCCTTGAACCTCCCATGGCCCTCACCCCACTGCCTCCACAGACGCTGCAGAAGGAGCCGCTGGTTGTCACGCAGACAGAGGCAGTGTGGCACCCGCCAGCCTGGTTTGTGGCCGTGCTGACCATCTCTGGTGTCCTGCTGCTGGCCACCCTGGGCTGCATGGCCCGGAACCTGCTGTGCAGGTGAGCCCCAGCCCGCTCAGCATGGCTCAGTGAGCAAGGCTAAGGGCTCACGGCTGCCTTCTGCTCCTCCCACAGCAACCGGGCCCCTGGCAAGCTGCTCCTGGCCAAGAGGTGAGTGCTATACGGCCAGGGTGGTCATACTGGCAGTTGTATTGTCCTTGCAGGTAGCCAGGGAGACACAGCACACGGGGTAGGTTTAATATTCTCTGCATTTGGCTTGCTGTGCCAGGGAGCCGTCTCTGCCCAGGGCAGGGGTGCAGCCCTGATGGGGGCTATGGAAGCAGAGAGAGCATTTTGGCCAGTATCCGGTGATGTCGGTGGCCAGGCTGGGGCACAAACTCTGCAGTGGACAGGGTGGGATGGCACAGTGCTGGTGCCAATGCCTGGGTCCTGGCACCAGGGCTGAGGTCACTGCAGCTCACCAGGGGAGCCCCTGTTTGGCAGGGGTGGGCCCCATTTGTCAGGGAAAACTACCAGGGAAGAGCTGAACAGGCTGCACAACCCCTGGAAGATCAGTGATGGTGACAAGTGACAGAGGAGAGAGCCTGGGCAGATGCTAGACCAGCCTGTGCCAAGTGTCTGCACAGCAAGGAGGAGACATGCAAGCCCATGGCAGGACAAGTCACCTCCAGTGGCATAACTGGCCCGAGGTGATGCACAGCTGGATGCAGGTTCATTGGCAAGGCTGGGGCCACCGTGCTTGGTGACACTGGGACTGTAGTGACCATGCAAGGGAGAAGACCCAGGGTCAGCCCCGTGGTTGGCCTTGGCAGCTCCCCCAGCACAGCATCCTCCAAGCACAAGAGTGATGCGTGCCAGCACATGGGGAAACAAGTGGATGTGGTGGCAGACCTGCTTGCTGCTCAGGCACTGGTGAAAGGTGGTGGTGCCTGGGGGAGCACAGCCCTGTCACAGTTCCCTCCTGTGCCAGGACACAATCAGGTAGGTGGATGATGGGCTTAACAGGGTGAAGCTGGCAGGGTGAAACCTGGCTGGCAAGTCACTCCCAGCAGCATCTCGTGGGGTTGAGGCCGGCAGCCCATCACTGACAGCATTCCCTCCCTTCCCCTCTTCCTTCTGCAGCTCCTGGGATGTGGTGGAAAACAGCAGGGGCAAGGAGGAACAGGGACACCCACATAGCAGCAACCCAGTAAGTGTGTGGCAGCGAGGGTGGGTGCCCTGCCAGGGAGGCAGAAGAGCCCTGTGGCCCTCAGCAGCCTCTCCTGTCTCCTCCACACAGGGGCAGTTCGATGGCCATGCTCAGGACCCACGTGAGTGCCCTGTCCCACAGCCCCAGCAGCCTCAGGTTGTGTCCTCCAGGGCAGAGGGGTCTGGGGACAGGAGAGATGGGGACCAGTGACTGAGTGCTGCCTCCATCCCAGGCACCGGCAGGGACTATGTCTTCAGCAGCGTGACAGGGGCTCAGCGCTGGATCTGAAGGGCTCGACTTGCTGAGGGGCTCCTTGTGACCCACAGCTCCATGAGCTGGGCTGGGCAGAGCACGGGGCACTGGCAGACAGCTGGGACGGCCCCCGAGGACGAGACCCATCCTTTGTGGCCGAACCTGCTGCACATGGGGCGCAGCCACACCCTGAGCCACCTCAGCCAGTGCAGAGCTAATAAACGGTGTCAGAGATTGCACACGCGGCTGTGATTGCCGCAGGGAGTCCGTGGCCGGGCAGTGCTGCTGCTGGCTGTCCTGCTGTGCTGGTCATTAGCACTGTCTGGTCAGCCGTGTGAGTGACCCAGGACAAGCATTGGCAGCGGGCTCGGCACTGCAAAAAAGGTTACGAGAGCTTCGGCCAAGTCTGCTTCGGTCGCAGAAGCATCTCTGTAGCCTCTGGATGTGACCCAGCCGGGACTGGGTCAGATAACCGGGAGGTTATCTAGGGCTAGAAAACTCAGCCACGGGTAATTTTGACCAACTTTTGCCCCGTGTTCCGTGTCCCCCTCAAGCTCTGCTTTGTTACAGCGCTCGCAGGGGCAAACGGGTGGGATGAGCAGCTGGTGGGCAGGCGGGATGGGTCGATAATTGGGAGGAAAAGTGAATTAGCGTGGGTGCAGGTGAGCGGGACGCCGCAGGAGGAGCTGGGAGCGGCGGGAGGCTTTGAAGGCGTCAGTCAGCGGGAGGTGGGAAACCGGTTATTTGAATTTCAAAGGAGCGCGCCACGGGACGCCTCCCTGGCAGCTCCCGGGGAAATGAAGCGCTGGCGGGATAAGAGGGAAGAGACTAATTTGGGGAGTAGGTGACTAAGGGGAGGGAAGGGGAACAGAGGCCAGCCGTGAAATTTCACAGTGAGAGGGGTCACCTGTGTGACTTTGCCTGAGGGTCCCTTTTGCCCCGAACCCACAGGAACCGTGACTGTCCGGGAATTTAACCCTTTGTGGTACCGGAGTGGTGCGTGAGCGTGTCCCGTTGGCGAGACGCCGCTCGGAGCGGCGGCGGGAGCGGGTTGCGGAGCGGCCCCGGGGGCTCGGAGCTCTGAGTGTGGGACCGCGGGACGGCCGGGTGTGAGTTTGTGCCGGGAGCACGGGGCGCAGACCGGCCGGGAGCGGGCTCTGACCGCGGGTCGGAGCGCGGAACCGCGGCCCGGCGGGGCGCGCCCAGCACGCGCGGGCCGCGCCCATTGGCCGAGCGCCCCCCCTTCTCCGCGGGCAGCCAATGAGGAGGAGCTGCCCGCGAGGAGGCGGGGCTCTGGCGGGCGTCACGTGTGCCTAACGTGCGCTGCCGTCCGCACTCGGGAAAGGGCGGGGCGGCTCTGCGCTTGAATGACACGGAGTTTGACCTATCAGCGTCCCGAGAGGGCCCCCGTGGGGCGGGACCCGGGTGCGGACTGGCGCGCAGGGCGACAGGGCGGGCTTTGGACGGCGCGGTTGCTATGACGGCCAGCGCCGGGCCCCGCCCGCCCGGGCGCCGCCATCTTGTTGTTGATTCGAGCGGCGGGGAGCGGCGGCGCTGGGGCTCCGCGTTCCGGTGTCCCGGCCGGGCAGGCAGCGCCGGCCCCGGTGAGCCGGGCGGGCGGGGACTGGCCAGGCTGCCGGGCGGGGGGCTGAGCCGAGCGCGCTGCCGTGAGGGGAGACCCGGGTGCGGCCCCGTGAAGGGAGAGGGGATACACAGGCACGGCCGGGTGAGGGGGCAGCGAGCACCGGGATGGGCCTGGAGTGGAGGGGTCCGTGCGCGGCCCCGTGAGGAGGGGCTGGGGCGAGCGCGGTACGTCCCCGTGTGTGCGTGGGTGAGACCCGGGCGCTTTCCCCTGCGGGGCTGGCCTGGGGCACGGCCGGGGCGGGGTTCCCGGGCTGGGCAGCGGGTGCCGGGGCAGGGCCGTGCCCAGCGGGCAGAGCGAGCGTCCCTTCCCTTTGTGCCCTTCCTTCCTTCCTTCCACAGGAGCTGCGCGCAGGAAGGAGCTCGGAAACCGCGGCGGTAACATGAAACCAACATGGTGAGGAGGCTGCTGGGGCTGGGGCCCGTCCGTGCTGCCCCCGGCAGGGAGGCGTGTGGGTGGCCCGGGAGCGCTGGCTGCCCCGCTGGGGACACCCGGAGAGCCTGGTAGTCCCCCGGGGCAGGTGTGCTCGTGGGGCTGCAGACCTGGACCGGGACCGACCTTCCCCGGGGTTTTCCAGGGCGGGTTGAATTAGGGTAGGTGGTACTGGGTCCATATCCTTAATTTTTAAGCTCAGCATCAGCTCTCTTTTATTTTATTTTTCCCCAGCGATATGCTTTAGTATGTGCTGCTTTTGTCATTTCAACCTGTCTTGCTCTTTTTTTGCTCCATCTGCTTTTCCTCCCTTCAGGTTCACCTGGCTTAACTTGGTGTTCTGAGCTTCCAAAGCTAGATTCCAATAATTGGCCTTTGCTAACGAAACACTGATTGGTGCAGGAATGGTGGGGGCTTGGGTCTCTGTTCATCCTTAGTGCAATGTTTCTGTGATCATTAGGGCTAACGTGTAAACATAGTCAGTAGCTTGTCTCACAAAGTAATATTCAGTAGTGTGTTGTGAAAGTCTCATTATAGTGAACTGCTGTCACCTGCAGCTTATATGCTAACACTTGTGTGTGTGTGGTCAGGCTTTTGATGGAGAAAAATAATGGTATTCTTGTTGTTTATCACTGAATTAAGATTCTGGTTTCCTTTATATAGAAATTCTGTCGTGAGCTTCAAAGTGTTTTAGAATTAAGTGTACCAGTTATTGCATGTTGTCACTGTAATCCTAAATAGGTCTCCTAGTCCTATGTAACAATTTCTTATTTTGATTGTGAAGTATTTTTCTGGGTTAGTTTAGCTCTGACCTAAGGTAAGTGCTTTGTTTTGGAGCTGGAAGGAAAGTGGTAGCTTATGAAAAGATTTAGTTGTGAGCTCTAAAAAGCAACATAACATTGGGTTGCTTTTTGAACTGCATCAACTCCTTGTTTTGTCCATTGAATATTGAATTGTCCTGATGCTGATTTTTCTTTTCCTTTCTTAGAGGGTGTTTCATACCCTCTCAGCATTTTCAGCACAACCATTTCCAGGTGCATGGGTGAACAACCTATGCCATCCTGGTTAGAGCCCGTTAGGCTGATGTGAAATGTCCTTTTTCATGGCCTTGCCTTTGCTTCCTGTCTGGTAAGGACTTGAGAGAACAGGGGAAGTGATCCTTAGCTCCTGGAGGGGGAAGTTGATGTATACAAGGTTATTAGCATAGGAATCTTTGATGGAAAGAGTAGGATATGCTGGTGGGACTCTCTCCTGGACTCTCTGGTTTTTCATTAGGCACTTTGTGGCAATTTTGCATGTTTCTTGCATAGAAGAAGAGCAAATGAACACAATTATCTGTTGAGGTGAGAAAGGGGACAGTTTTTAAGATCTGCTTCTGATCACCAGTTCCATGTGTGGTTTCACAGGTACTTCAGCTCATGTAAGTACAGACTGCAAGCCACAGGAGTTCTTGCCTTGTTGCTTATATCTGTGCAGGTGAGAATCAGAGTGCCCTGACTTACAGACTGAGCAAGCTAAAGACAAACTGCCTGTTTTTCTACCCAGCTTTGTGGGTGCATAAATGATTTTGCTGGTGCTGGAATGGGGTCTTATCTGAGTTCAGGGTGATCTGCAGTGTGACTGTGTACAAATGCAACAATGTATTTTTACATGATCTATTTTCTTGCATATAAATATAATTTTAAACCATATTTTTACATATATTCAAAAATTAAATGAAACAGTGGTGCCCATGCTTCTCTTCTACTTCTGTGAATCGTCGTGTGCCTCATCATCAGGTAGACAGCACTGGACATGTCCTTCTTATAAAAATATTATAGAAGGAAAAGTTAGATGTGCTTTGAGATCCCCTCTCTTGGCAGATCGTGCAGGTCAACTGACTTGGAAGTTATTCTGTCTTGCATTGCACGTAGTGAAAAGTCAAGGTTAGAATAGCAAGCACTCAGAGGTCAAAAAAGGGGCCAGGCTGGCGTAGTACCTGTGCCCTTAATCAGCTAATTGGCCTTTTAAACAAGTGTTATGATTTCTTCTTAATCCTTCAGTTGTGTACTCTGCTCATCCCATCTAAGCTGCCTGGTTTGTTTCTTTCCTTTCCTCCCACAAATACAGAGCTGATTCCTTTTGGGTAAACTGATCAAACTCTGAAATGTGACCTTGCTGAGCTTGGCTGGTGTGAGATGAGGAGCCCTGTACAAGCTCGGGGCTGTTTGTTGACCATCTGCTTACAGATGGTCTCTTTGGTCCAGTGGATCACCAAATGTTTGTAAAAATGTTTGATCACTTCTCAGATTTCAGTGTTTAGTTAGTTTCTCCATGCCTCAAGGTTTTTGTGGATCTGGTGGATTCTGGCTGGCATGCTGGGTGTGGGATGGCACTCACTGTGCCTTTCATTAAGATAAGAAATGTAGGTGCTAAGTTTGAATTGGATATCCAGAACCCATGCTCTACAGGAGATGTGTTTCTTCCATCTATGGTTGAAATGCAGATACTGCAGCCATGGAAAAATCTGTCAGAGGCCTTGATTATTGCAGTGTAACCCAGGCACTTCACTCACTGTCAGTAGATTCCCCCAGTCTGTCCATCAGGGATTAGCTCATAACGTGTTGGAGATGTGAGCATCTCAGTGGAGTGTTAATGCTGGGATTTGTAGTCTCAGAATTTAGTACTGACAAAAAGCTGCAGTCTGATTTGTTTGCTCTTGCATTTGCTGGTGTCACATTGGTGCTGGGCACGGTTTAGCATTGAACTTGACTTGCTGAGTTTGTGTGTGGCTCTCTGCTTACTTGTTTATATAGTGTGACATGCCTAGGGACAACTGGTTTTATTTCTGACCTCTCAGTCTTTGAGAGGGAATGTATCAAAAACAAGTTACTAAGTACAGAGGGTCCCCAGTGAGTTTGAGAAAAGGAGCAAAAGAAAATGCGACAGAGCCCTCTGCAACAGTCACGTCAAGCATTTGTGTTACGTGCTGTAAACTGAAGGAGCCTTCAGCTCTATGGAGGAGCAGCTAGCAGTCTCCCTCATTTCTATTCCTGATGTGACAGGAATGCAGAGCAGGATGCTGGCCAGTGTTTAATATCAGGTTTGTTGCTGCTGTCCTAGGGTGGTGGGGGGAGGAAGAGGAAGTGTGTGCGTGGCTGCTGGGTTTCTGTTTTGCAGGCATCGCCTGTGCGCAGCGTTGTGCTGTTCTGATGTGGCAGCAGCTGTTATTTTTGGTGTTCCCAGTGTGCTGTTCGGGTAGATGTGCTTCCTAATAGATGCAATCCTCTTAATCAGAGTGTTGGGCTGCCTGTGCTTCCTGTGTAGTCCGTGCTGGTGTGAACCACTCTGCAGATGGTACTGAGAGGTGGAAGTCCTTTGCCTTTATTTATTTCCAGCTTGCATTTATTTTGCATCACCCCATCAGTATGTGGTGTCGTTAATGTTTGAACCCCTCCTTTGGGAGTAAAGGAATCAGCTTTGCTATTACAGGGTGTCTCTCTAGCTGTATAATGTGTCCACAGTAGTTAAAATGGGTGCAGTTGTTTTGTTAACAATCACATGGACGTAGCTGTCCATAATTGTATTAGTAGGTGATCCATCAACCAAATCTGATAAAAGCAGTGAAAGAGGTTATGATGTGGATGTGTCTGTCCTGGCAGGACGTCACTACATGTGCTTGGGAGCTGCAGGAGATAAGCTGTCTCTGATTTAGCTTTTGTGCTTAGGAAGGTTATCTCCTTCACCAGCTGTGCTGCTGCTTTGCCAAACGCTTCCTCCCTTGTGTTGGGGCCTACAAGCAGGCCTGTTCAACTGCTGGGGTTTAATACACTCTGCTTCAGCCTTTCTTCCCTAGTGCCCATCCCTGCCTGGTGAGGAGCAGTTGTCAGAGATGCTGCTCTGCTCCACCCTGGTTGGGAATTTTCAGCTAAGGGTGGCTAGGGCAACTGGGGACAGTGTATCCTCTCAGCCCAACTGGTGGCTTTGGTAAAGAGCATCTGTCGGAGCCCACAGGAATGACTGAGGGCATTTGCTTCCTGAAAGGAACTTGTGAATTCCAGTCCCATTCTCTAGGGGAGACATGCTCTCAAACATTCTGAATTGATAAGCAAGTAAAGATCTAAATAAAAGCTAATTTAGGACTTGATAACTCGTTTCCATACATCATTTCACAGGCTGACTTGCTTCTGGGGTCCTGTTCCCTCTTGACTGTGAGAAGTTGGCTCCATATTCCAGTGACTGCTCAGCCAAAGGAGCTTGGGTGACATCTCCAAGGTAACTTTTTTTCTGTTTGCAGCCATCTTACAGATGCAAAGAGAAAGAAACTGCTTGCTTTTTGCCTCTCCCTTTGGAATTTTACCCTTCAAGTAAGGATATGTAGATACAGTTTGTGGGACTTTAGCTCTTATTTTTGAAGGATACTACAGGAACACCCAGGTAAGTGCAGTAGCACAGAGTGAAAAATTCAGTCCTGTTCATTCACCAGATTTGTGTCAGTTCTTTGTAATAAGAATTAAAATTCCAAGAATTGGATACTCACTCATGCTCTAGTAATTCTGGCCATTCAGGTGGCTGATTTGCAGCTGAATCACCTTATGATGATTTCAGAATTCTTATCATTGTGTGCTTTTTTCTTTCTGTTCTGAGGTTAGTTTGCTGAAAGTTGATAAGGCTGATCTGATAGTCTTTCAGTTTCAAAGAGGTTGCTTACGTGCTGTCCTGAATTTGCAAGAAAGTCAATCATATTTTTTTTCCCCCAGCTCTTTATCAATAAAGACATGACTCAGTATATCTGTGGTATAAACAGACTCAAATGACCTTGTTTTCTTTAGACATGGTATCTTTAAGTAGTGGTTGTCACACAGTTCAGTTTCCTGGTGGGGAAGCCCCTGACCTGGTGGGTGATGGTCTCAGTTTGAAATGCGAAAGGTAATGACCAGGGAAGCTGAGCTCCACAAGTACCTTCCTGGGGTAGGGAGAGGAGACATGTGGTGCCTTCCCTTCAGGCATGCTCCTGTGTCTGTCACTGCTGACTTAAGTGCTGATCTAAACCTAAACTACTGTATAGCTTACATGTTCTGTTCTGACATTTCTCTTTTTTCCCCTCCCCCATAGTTCCATGCTGAGCTGCATTTTCCCCAATTTTTTAAACTTCCAGAGTATGTTAATGCAAAATATCATGTGATCTTTAATTCCAATTAATGTTGTTCCTTTGTTGGTATCAAAGTATTGTCAAGCACTTCCAAAAGTGAGTTTAGAAGTCTTAAAAAGGGCACAAGAAGGTAGGGCTGGCTGTTTGTTCAGTGTCCTTTGACAGTACTGTCTGAGCAGCTTAAGCACGTGTGGGGAGCAGTCATGATCTCATTACAGCTAACTATAGGTGATAAGCAGCTTTGAGCACCAAAATCAGTGCACCACCAAGTGCAGATGTCAGTGAGTTATTTAAAGCAGGAAGGATTTGGGAGAGAGGCCTGGGGGCTACACAGACCCATGTCTTACTCAGTGTCTGAATCAAACCATGGAGTAACTGCCATGAAATTGCTGGTGCTCTTGCAGGAGATGAGATATGCTGCTCTTGCATTGGTTTGTTGGTTAAAAACATGGTGAAGTCATGGAGCTTTGGAGGACCCCCACAGCACTGCTGCTTTGTGAAAGGTTTATTGCACTTTTCCAAGCTGTGGTCTTTGTGTACAGCTGTGTGACATGTCTGAGGAATAGACCTGTTGAGTTCTCTTACCACAGATACGGAAATAAAAAGAACTTTTAACTTCAGTCTTTTGGGTCTGTCCCAAAAGAATTGTTGAAGCGGTCTGAAGCTCAGTTTGTGTTGAAACAATACATATGCAGGGGTTTTTTTAGATAGTTTCTTAAACACTCCCACGCTTCCTGTAATAAAACCCACATCATGTTTGTCTCAAAGATGTGGATTTTACTTAGATTAAGTGTTACACTGTATAAAATGTTTATGGATCCCTTTACTTTTGCAAATAATGGAGAGGTTTACTTTATTTTCCATTAGAAGCAGCTATTGTAAGAGTGTTTTCTTATGCTGTGCAAGTGGCATTTCCTTTACTTGGGCATAAATCTTCTTTATGTAATTGAGGTCTTAATACTTCACAGTTCTTACCACAAGTGTTGACCTGAATACACTTTTTAAAATTTGACAGTAAGCTAAATGTGAACCAATAAGCATTATCAAGCATGCTTTATGCATCTTTTATTTTTATGGAACTGAGGAAAAACCTCTAACTCTATTTTAGTCAGACTGAATAGGTATCACTGTTGTGCATCATGCGGAGTTAAATAGTTTTCACTTTTCTTCAGGTGCTCTGCATGCTGGTTTTTTTTGGTTTTTTTTGTGTAATAACAACACTTGGTTTTTGTTTTTCTCCCTAATTATTCTTAGCTTTACTTAAGTACGATCACAGAAATTTCCATTCCTGTGGTCTGTGTGTTAGTTTTGTAGCGTGCTTAGCACTGACACTTCCAATGAATTTCAGCAGCTTAGAAAACTGAACCTGTTGACCATTTGGTTCACCTTATGACAAAAACCAGTTGTCTTAAAAATTAGTTCTGATTTGTGAATGCAGCTTGACTCAAATATTCTTAGTTAAAATAGTTAATGGTATTGTATCATTCACCAGCCAAAAGTGACCCAAGATTTTTATTTACTGCAGTTAAAATACCTTCCTAAAACCTGGCAATGAAAGATCACAGGTCAGATGGTTAAGAGTTTGAGACTTTGTTTTTTGGAGTTCATCCCATTGTGACATGACAACCAGAAGAAAATTCAAAACCTTTAAGATCAGTGTCCCATGGTAGTGAGCTTGCCAGGTTGACTCTTGCATGAGTGCAAAGCACTTTGTTTCAGGTTTCCTGTCATTTGCAGGTTTTTTAATGATACTCAGGGAAGAGAACTCTGTGTTGTTTTACACCCATTATGCTTGTTATTTTGTGTTTTTCAGCCTGAGATGATAAGCTTTTGGCACATGTTACCACACTGTATTGATCTGGAAAAGAAAATGAAAGGGAAATTAGCTTTCCCTAGCTATATACAGCCTATGATGTATTGTGGCTGTGATTTAGCAGACTGTGATTTTGTAGGAAAAAACCCAACCTGAACCAGCCTGCAGCATGGCCTTGCAGTGTCTTGAGAAGAACTTAGTGTGAAAAACCAAGGCAGCTGTAGGACACTTGAGAGAGGTTTTGCTGTTAAAAAGAAACTTACCACAATTAGTGTGACTTCCAGATGAGTGTGCTGTGCCTTCTTAGTGTATGGGACAGAAGATTTGTTTATGTATGTGCAGGTGCTGCATCTAACCATCTGCAAAACAATTTGGCTTATCAGGTTTAACACGCTTTCTTTTTGCTTGGCTTTACATCTCTTACATAAGCAGTGGCCTCAGCTGTTGTAAGTGGCACACTAGAAAGCCTGTTGGAAGGAGCTTTGAGATCCACTTCAGCAGCTTAACATTTAGATAAGATGTTGGGAATTTGTGACCTGTAGAGTGTTTACAGGGACTTGTTTATGGCTGCTTCAGTGAACAGGAAGTTAAATATAGGCTTTGTTTGTCTGATTCTTCACTTCAAATGAAGAGGAGAAGTTTCTTGTCTCAAACCCTCAAACAGAGCTGGTTGGTGTGGCAAAGCATTTCAAGGGGCCTGCTGCCCAGGTTAGTGTATAGGAGAGTAATAATGAAGATTTGCAATATTGAAGGTCCCTTTGGAAGGTGCTTGAGAAGTACAGTGGAGTGAACTGTGTTCTGAGCTCCCTTCTTGATATTTCCTTTTGCAAAGTCTAGTTGCATTGGATACCTTAGAAGTGGGAGGTTTGCTAGAAGAAGGTACCAAAGGATGGTTGTACTGGCTCCTGATCTGGTAAAATAATCCTGCAGACATTTTTAAATGCCAGGTTTTGTCCTTCAAAAAGTATAGCACCTTGCCAAGCTTGAAGTTGTGATTGTCTGACTGATGCATGTGTCTCCTGAGAAGACAACTTCAGGTTCAGATTGCCTTTCATTTCCACTCAGCTGGCTGGGCCTCCTGTTAATTCTTTGTCCTTTACCTTCCAGAACATGCTGCAAGCCACAAAACAACTCCAAGGTATTTTAACAGCTTTAAGATTTTCAGTACGAGTGATTGAAAGCCTTGCAGATTATGCTGATCCTCAGGGGAGCTACAGGATAACAACAGGCCCAGATCAAAATCCCCCCCATGAGCCTGGGTTGTGTGTCATGTGTGTTCTACCATGTTGAAGGGATGAGAGTATCCTTGTATGAAATTGTGTTTAGAGTTATATCTGCTTTCAAATTACATGACTACCTTAGCTTTCAGTCCCATCAGATACTGTGTCATATATTCTACTTAAATTAAGTACCAGATTTAGTGCACTGTCTTTGTCTAAAGTATATTTGCCATGACAGACCTCATTATTTCCCATTCTAAACCTCAAAAATGAAATGTTGCCCTTTATCCTTGAATTTGCCATGGCATTATTTACTTTCCTGTAGCACTTGTATTGAGATTTTTTCCCCCTAATGCAGAGCTCAGTTTTTTCTTTCCTTTTCAGTGTTTTTTTTTTTTTTTTTTTTTTTTTGTTTTTTTTTTTTTTTTTTTTTTTTTTTTTTTTTTTTTTTTTTAGTGGGTTGACAGTACAAGAGAATACACTGTAGATGAGATGAGAATGTACCTTCCTTTGGTACTTACTCGTGGAGAAAAAAATCACAGTGTTCAGTTGAGAAGTTATAACTCATGTTTTCTTGCCTGTGACCCTCAAGGGTCACCTGCTTAGGGAAATTATAAACTGGCATCAAGTAGGGGGCATGGATTTGCAACGTGATTATGTGGCTTTAATTCCCTATGGATGTACTTATAATGTTGTTTCTGCCACAAGTGCTTGGGACAGCTGCATTAATCAGCATGTTCATCCTTACCTAGAGAAGCTCTGCAGGTGGAATCCCTTAATGTAGATGCACTGATAGTGATAAAATGACACTTCTAAGGTAAAGCTTGTTTTGCTGGAGGTGTTGAGAAGGTAAAGAGTGAGGAATGTTTTATTTGTCATTGTGAGTAGTACTTTTTTCAAGGAAAAAAATCAGATAAAAAAAGTGGGGGCCCAAAATATGCCTTTTCCAGCTGAATTAACTTTTTCATTGGTAGTGTAAAGTTAGAAGGGATTGTAGTGAGAGAGGAGGGCATCTCTCAGTTGGGCATAGAAAATTTTACCTATCCATACAAACCTTGGTGTATTTATTGTAGCATGGGTGTCTACTTGA